GGACCAACGGACAGCCTTGATGTCCTGACAGCAATTGTATGCCATTCTCTGCTCCGAGACCAGAAACCTTTAGAGCTGCCATTTCTCTAACATTTTGGTCTCTTAAAAATGAGGACTCCAGAGAACTTTTGTGTCTGTCAATACTGACAGAAATTAAAACAGACTTTTTAAAGCACAAGAATACACGGACACATAATGACATCATCAAATGTCACATGGCACCTGGAAAATATCACTCACTGTACGTCTGTGAGAGAAAGAGAGTGGAAAAGACAAATAAACAAAACCAGTTTTGACCTCGTGGACCCATGGAAGGGGCTGAGGAAGCCAGAAGTCCCCAGACCTTACTCCCAGAGGACCTCTGGCTTAGCAATGTTTGGGCTTTCCCATGCTGAGTTGCCGCCACATGCTACTAGACCTTCCTTCACACCAGGGCCTCTGTGTCCTGGGCACCATCCTCAGCCTTCATCACCTTAAGTCTAAGTTCCAGCATTACCAGTCTGATAAATCTGCCTCTCTTCATCATCAAACGCGTCTCCCTAAAGAACATTGCTACTCGCTCTTGCCCAGGAACTCAGAGGTCCTCCCCTCTGCATTCCAGCGCCCTCACCTCTCACCACCAGGAACCCTCTGCTCAGCCCCTGCACACACGCCCCTATGCGCCCACCTTCCTTCAGCTCCACGAACCCAGGCCTTCCCATTACAGTTTTATTAGACACAGTGCTAAAGGCACATCCGTCAGTATTAGAGACTTTCTGCCAAGAAACAGAGCATGTTTTAAATGGAGCAAAGAAATTTAAATGGGAAGAAATTATAGCATGAGTGAGTTTATCCCTTTCAAGATAATCTTATTTAATAACCAAAAAATTCACAAAGATGTGTATTTTATCCAGCTACAAAGGCAGCGTGGCAGGTTATATATTGTGGTAATTACATGTTTGGGGTTTCATTTCTTCTTTAAACTGGATTTCTATTATTTCAGAAAATCAACCATTGTAGAAAAGGACTATTCATTTATTTCATTGCTGGGTGGCCCATATGCTGTAAAAATAGGTCAAGTACAGTAATCTAAATTGACTGCTGATAAATAATTAAAGCTAATGGAATTTTCTCAAATCTGTGAACCAAAATCTTTTGAGAAATTGCCAGGACATACTTACTGTCTGCTGTTGTATAGAAAGATATTTTTTATTTAACACTTCAGTTTAAAATTTCCCTTTTCTGTCACAAAGACTAGAAGGCATATGTGTTGGCCTATAAAAGTAACCAGATGTGTGGTGCTCCATTGATAGCTGCATGCTTCATCCTCAGTGCAATGGGAACAAAGAGAAACTTCACTTTTAACTCAACTGTATTTTTAAGTTGAGATCTGTGCTCTGTGTATCATATAGTATATCTTGTTTTTTTAAAAAAGATAAAGGAGAATTCTAGCTCTCTTAAATGACATCCAGGAAAGTAAGAACCGAGAACAATCTTTTATAGGTAATTGTGATTACCTCATCGATGCCACCAGGGCCTTATAAAAATCCACTTGACAAATAGGCATAGACTATTTTTAGAAGAGACGGCTTATCAATGAGAAAGCAAATAAGACTAGCCTTAGATATGGTGCACTGTGTAGGTTTTTCTTTATTCATAAGGATTATCCAGCCATCATCAGGATACTTTAGAATTCTAAAGACATTAGAAAAATCAGTAGCTACATGCTTTTGAACAATTTCTCTTCAGTGTTTTGGCTTTAAGATGTAGAAAAGAGGTCATTTTTCTCATTTCAGTTTGATTAAATATCTTGGTTGAAAAATCACTAATTTGTATTAGTTTTTAGAAAAGTTGTAGGTTTTTAAAACTGCAGTACTTATAGCTAATGTTGTATTATGTTTTCATATATTTATAAATGGACTCTGTTTCTGAACTTAAACTTGTTTGCATTTTCCTTTAAGAAAATACTCTATAAAGAAATTTCTTTATTTAAAAGGAAATTATTCTATTCAGATTGCCCCCATCCAGCATCACTATAATCTGGAATCTGAGTATTTGTATTTTGTATTTTGAAAGATCTTTGAATCCTTTATTTGGGGCAGCTCAGATAGCTAGGTAGAGGCAGTGGGTATTTTCAGAGGCTTTAATTAGAATACCATTCCTTTCTTCATTGCAACACGACTGCACAATACAAATCATGAGAGTAGAATCTTGACATTAGAGACACTTATGAAGACTTAGAACAAGTAACAGACTTCGCGTGTCTAGAGTGAGAGCAGGACACAAGACATGGAATAGCCCAAGGAGCAAGGACCCTGGGCAGGAGGGCTTTGCCTAGGATGTCACAGGAATGGATAGAGTGGTGTTTGGTCCAGAGAGAAGACACGGGTGGAGAGGAAGGTGCACGGAGAGATGAACGAGTTCTCAAATACTTAAGAAGGGCTGAGGGGAGAGCTGAATTCCACTCACCAGACATCGTCAGAGGACAGGCCCGGGCCTGGGAGAGGGAAGGTTCAGCCATTCTCATTCCCATAGGCAAACCCAAGTCACTGCTTCTTTAATCTCCCACTCAAGAAAGTCAGTGAGAGTGGAATCACTTCAAATCTGCACCCACTTTTCAAAAAGTAAATTATTCACCAATAAAAATAACATTATTTGAGCCCACCTCAGGATAGCTTTACTCCAAATATCAGCATTTGGTGGTAACGCTGATAGCACAGTGTTTGACAACTCCTGATCTGAGACGAGCCACCTTCTGTGTCAGGCCTTGGGAGGGTGAGCTATGTGGTCAGGACACCACGGTGAGGTCTCCTGCCTTGTGCAGGCGATCAGACCAGATGACCTTTAGATGTCCAGGTTAACTTGATGAAGGTGACAGTTAACTAGTTGGTAGGTTGTAATTTAAGAGAGATAGTCCCTCACCTCATTCTCATAATTCTTTCTTTGCCTGTTCTGTGTGATCTGTCAGCGGAAGGCATTGTGTGTCTCAGTGAAATACGGTGTTTTAAAAACATTTTATATTTCAGACACACACAAGATAGGGTGAGGAGTACAGTGAACCTCCATGTCCCGTCATCCATCTGCAACAACCGTCAACCCATCAACGCACTTGTTTTGTCCTTACTCTTACCCATCACCCCTCGGCGTTAAGTTATTTTGAAGCAAAAGTCACATATAATCCATAAATATTTCAGTACGTATCTCTAAAAGACAAGGATCCTTTTTAAAATCAGAGCTGCCACTGTAACTTAAAAATAAAAACAACCTTGGTCCTATTGTCTTAACTTTAGTTCATTTTGTGGTGCATGCCATGTTTTATTGACTGTAATACATACAGTTTTACACATTTTACCATTTTCCATATCAGAGCCTTAAAATCAATATCACAGCTTAATATCACAGCATTTTTTTTCCAGTGTAGCATAAGATAATGGCACAGCTCACATTTGACAATATCAAATTTAATGGAATATGCTGTATTACAAAATGGTTTTCTTTGAATATATACCTAAAACAGTTTCAGATTAGAATTTTCTTGCTTTGAGGACTGAGTAATGAGGGGAAAGCCAGGGGTTTGTAAGTTCATTTGAAGATAATTTGTTTTAATCCTTGGGTGGGTGTGTAGCACCCGCCCACCAAACCTCCTCATGCGGAAACATTTCCTAGGGTTTTCAGTGTGAGCCAGTCTTTATTTTTGCCTGGCCCTTATCAAGGGTTAAACCCCGTCCCCACCCTTTCACCACCCAGACACAATGAAGAAAATGTGAACTAAGACCAGGGGAGAGGGGAGAGCTGAGAGTACCTGGGCTGAGGTAGCTCTAAAAGCCACTGCTGCCACTGTCACGGGGCAGGGTCCCTAATGGTTCCTGCGCCCACACCAGGGGCAGGGGTGTTGGCAGCCTTGTGAGAGTCACCGAGGGGAACCTTTCAGAGGTGGCCTAGTCCAGCCCCTCCACTGCCCCAGCCCTCCCCCCAGTGGTCTTGAGAAGGCCATGTTGTGCCAAAGACAGGACCCCACTCCTGGCTTTCAGCGTGGAGGGTGAGGCACCACCAAGAGCCGCAGCCGGACAGCTGTGAGACTTAACTGTAGGCGCCCCACAGAAGTGCATGTGCGCTACTGTGGAGCAGGAGTGAAATTGTAAACTTCACTGAAACATTCCAAAATATCTGCATTACAGAATATTTCAAAAATAGAGATCATTTTGTGACTTCAGAGATGCATTTGTAATCATAGCCTCCTTTTGTTTAGGCAGGGCGGTCCCCCTGCATCAGCTTGTCCGTCGGAGCCTGAACAGCCGTGTCCTGGGCACAGACAGGCTCTCTGATTCCTCTCCCTTTCTATCTTCTTTTCCCTCCCGGTGTATATTGTATCCTCTGTCTTTCAGAAAAGTACAGTGGGCTACATGAAATAGTGTGTTTGTTTCCTATTTTCGCTGTAACAAACTGGCACAGACTTGATGGCTTAGAACAACAAAAATCTATCATCTAACCGTGCTGGAGGTCAGAGTCCAAAATGGGTTTCACTGCACTGAAGTGAGGTATTGGCAGAGTTGTGTTCCTTTTAGAAGCTCCAGGGGGCAGTTGTTCCCTTGCCTTTCTCAGCTTCTCCAGGCCACCTGTGTGCCTTGGCTTCTGCCCCTACGTCATTCTCACCCGTTTCCATCTCGTATCCTCTCTTGCCCTCACCCGCCTGCCTCCCTCTTACAAGGACCTGGACCTGCTTGGATTATCCAGTTTAATCTTCCCAACTCAATCCCTAACTTAATCACATCTGCAACGTCCCTTTTACCCTGTAACCTAATACAGTCACAGGTTCTGGGGATCAAGACGTGGACATTTTGGGGGGCCGTTATTGAGCCTACCACAGAGAGCTTATTTATTTAAGAAGAGACTGGTAAAGAGTTTGATCTTTTTTTGTTCATGGAATTTGGTATAAAAATACAGAAAATGATCCAAAGGAGGAACAAAAGTATTGACTTCTCCAAGGAAATAATGGTGGCTTGGGATAAACTTCCCAGTGACTAGATGGAACATGGATTCAAAACAGGTGTATCTCCCATTAACAGTGCTTAAAAGTAACAACTACAATGCAGGACAGTGGCCCAAACCCATTTCAGATACAAGTAAGTCAAACCTGCATTGTAATCCTCTACTTTATTGTGAGTAATTTCAGACTGACATCAGCAAAAACTTGAGTTCATAGCACATTCAAAATGAGGTGTCTATAACCAGGATTTAGTAGAAACAAATCTAGTGGTAATCTTAAGTAAGTTCATGAAAACTGTGGGGTGCCAGTTGGCATTATGTTGTATGAATTAAGGAACGAACCAGGAGAGGGACCAGGATTGCTTTATATAATGACAATCATCACTGAATTCAAAGCTGTTTTTAGGAGGCCTTAACGAATGTTTTCCTTCTCTTTCTTTCTCAAATGGCTGTTTCCTGACCCATCCCTCTTGCTCCAGGATTTGCGCAAGCAGGTAGCGCCACTGCTGAAGAGTTTCCAAGGGGAGGTAAGCGTTTATATTTATTTTATATCCTGAGCCATCCTTCATAGTTCATTGCACTTTCTTTTTATTCTCATTAAGTAAATGCCATTAACAGAAGGTGCTTACCCAGGCAGAACCCTCCCAGCTGCAGTGACCCAATGTTGTACAGATTTTGTGCTTCCCAATGTGATGTTTCCACTGGGTGGACTGAGCTTGTTTAGACCACAGCCTATAAGAGCTCACAAACCGCCTCAAGCTCACTGGTTCCCTGAGCTGGTCTGGGCTGCTGCAGCGGGAGGCCTCCTGTGTGGAAGGGATGGAGTGGGGCAACCTGGTGCTTTCACATGCAGCTGTGGGGGGAACAGCAATTTCATTTGATCGAGGCTTGAAAAAGGAACATGAGGCAGAAGTCACGAGGAGTAAGTTTGGGCTCAATGTAAGGAAAAGTTTTCTAATCTCTCCTTCCAGAGGAGGCCTGGGCACAATGGTGGGTAGGCTGTCAGTCATCTGAGACGTGTACCCTGGCCACCACAGAGTAATATCCGCAGAGAGGATGGTTGAGGTGGGTGACAACCCAGCTCCTCCTCAGCCCTTTGTGTAGAGACTCATGGATTTTCGAAAGCCAGACAATTTGTTATTGGCGTGGAGTAATTCACTTGGCCCTTAGCTTCTCCTATCAGGTTGATATAAGTAGTAATAATACTGAGGAAAGGAAGCAAGACTTTTTTAAAGGCCTCTAAAGAACCCATATTGGTAGGATCATAGGAATTCACAGAGAACAATGGGGAGGGGAGGATTCAGGGAAGTGAGATGGCAAGTTCAGGAGTGACGTGAGGCTGTGTGGTGCCTCCCGGGACACATCGCTAAGGAGGCTGGAATCCTTGGCAAGTTCTTCAGCATGCGTGTGACAGCAGAGGGCGAGGGAACAAATGAGGTTAGACAGGAAGACTGCAGTGGGAGGCAAGAGAGGAGATTCCAGGACAGTGATCGACTCGTGTAGGAAGACGAAGCAGCAGTGACTGCTGGTGATCACTGAGGATTCTAGAACAGTGCTGCGATGCTGTTCTCTCTGTGTGTGACTCCCTGCCCAGGAAACCCCCTGGACTTAGCTCTGTACAGCAGAGGATGTCAATATCCCAGGTCTGGGAAGGACAGGAATTGTCTTCTCAGAAGCACATCTCTGAACCCTCATTATATGAGTAAAACTGTCACCTTACACCTACTCACATTTGATCTGATGTCTTTCTTTTGCCTGTTCAGCAGCTTCTGTGAGACCCACTGGCTTAGTGCTTCTCTACGTGAAATAGCTAATGTGCTGTTTTAGTTGTTTGCTTATTTTTCTTTCATTTTGAAAAAATTCAAGTCTTCATAAAAGTAGAAAGATTAGTATAACAAACACCTGTACACCCTTTACCCAGACTCACCACTTGTTCACATTTTGCCACATTTCCTTCCCACCCTCTTGTTAAACATTAGAAAGTAAGTTGCAGATAACTCGGCACTGTACCCTTAAATATATGTGTGTATCTCCTAAAATTAAGGATATTCCCTGCCATTTCCATGATAACCCCAGGCATCATACCTAGGAAAATTAACATTAATTCCATGATATCTAATATTTGGTCCAAAAATCAAATTTCGACAGTTATCCCAAATTGTGTCTTATAACTGCCCTGCCCCCAACCATGGTTCAGTCAGGTTCATGCATTGCATTTGGGATATATATATATATATTTATTTTTTCTTTTTTCTTTTTCTGTAACCGTTTATCCCCCCATCCCCTCCTCCACCACCATCTACTCCAACCCCGCCCTCCCTCAGCTACCACACTGTTGTCCATGTCTGTGAGTTCTTTCTCTATTTTTTTCTTTTTTTTTGCTCAATATATAAATCTTTTAGTATAGAATGCTCTCTGCACCCCCCTCACCTTTGTTATTATTTTTTATTATGTTGAGTTTTGTGTGTGTGTGGTTGTTATTATTACTTTTTTAAGAATCTAAGTTATAGATTACCTCACATTCTGGACAGAGTAATGGGTTTGGTTCTGGATATATTAAATTTGAAATGCCTGAGAAACATCTTGGCTTCCTATTTGCCCATTTTTTTAAAAGGCTATTTATAAAGTAAATATTTTTATAGTACCATTAATTAATATTTACCAAGCCTTTGCTAATTGCTATATTTATATTAAATAATTTGTGCTTACTAGTACACTGATCATAACAGAAGGGACTAAATTCTACTTGTTCTGAAAAATGAACTTTTATGCAGAGGGCAATGGCAGATGGGGGCCACGTGCAGGGTTAGTTTTCGGCTGAGTGAGACCAGAAGGCAGCATGTCTTGGTGCTTCACAGGAGCAGGATCTGTTCAGCTTGTTTTTCTAAAACACCACCTCTTCTAATCAGAGATTTATTCTCGTACTCTTCACTAGTGTTTGCTGAGTGCAATTTTATTTATCGAATATATTTTTTGAGTCATCCCAGTGTGCTTGAGTTCCCCTTGGAGAAATGTATGGTATTAGTGAAGATGTGTTCTTTGCCTCCGAATTCATATAGATTACTTCCCTATTTGAGATTCCCCAAAAGAAAAGAAAAAACAAAACTAAAAAAATATAAAGTTTTCAGACAGCAAGAAATTCACATAGGACTTCAGTGTTCCTGCAGGAACATGTATTTGTAGTGTGTTATAATACAGGGGAAACATTAGCCTCGCCTGGGCAACACGCCCCTCAGTGTTTTCTTGTGGTTCTCAGGGTAAATCCTCCCTGTAGTTTATGAGATGCTCATGATTTGGTAACTGCTTACCTTTCTAGACTTTTCTTACTACTGACCACCTATCACTGGACATACAGTCATTCTGAATTTCTACCAGGCCCTTATGCATTGGGTGTCCTCACTGGCCTCCAAGCCTTTGAACGGGATGACCTCTTCCTGAGATATTCCTTCCTCTTTCACTTCTCCTGGATCACTTCTGCTTGATGTCACTTCCTCAGGAAAGGCCTTCCCTGGGCCCCAGTGATGGGCCAGGTCACCTGTACTGTGAGCTTCCATTGCACCTGCACTATTTGTGATGCATTTGTCATTATATCTGAGAGCTGCCTGTGGCTTTGTGTCTCTGTTCCCCATGAGTCTGTGAATGTGTGAAGGCAACCTCTGTGTCCTGTCTTGTTGGCCCTTTGTATTCCCAGCACCTGACATAGCAGCTGGAACTGAAGTATTTGCCCTCTCAAAAATAGTTACTCAATAAATGCTTAAACAGTGAGGTTTACTCTGGAGGCAGTTTTTAAAACATTTGCTCTTATCTTTTCTTCAGGTTATGTTGCTGTTAATAAGGTGAAAGGGGGACCCTAGAATACATGCTTGGGAAATACCTTAGAAAAAACTAGTAAATAACTGTATTTGTTGTCCTTGATTGAAAAGTTTAGAATACTATAATTGTAACAGTTACTTATAATTATTATAGCAAAGTCATCAAATTTAATTCACACTGAAATTAGATTTATTTATTTCTCTGAGTTTGTGTGTTTCACAAGCCTAGGCAACTGATTAGAGGGAGTAGGGAGAGTAACCTAAATGGTCAATTCAATTTAAGACAGTCCCTTCAGTGAAATGGCACTCACACTCTCTAGAAAAATGCTAAGTCTTTCAAGTTGTCTCCCTCTCTCCTTGCTTCTCTCCCTGAGAAGGGTCATAGTATAGACGGTTGAGGGGTCAGGAGTTGGCTTAGGCACCACTCCTCTTGGAAGGGGAGCTGGTTTCTTAAATTAAGTGTCCTCAGGGAGGAAAATCATCTTAAATAACTTAGGCACTTATATTAGAGGGGAAATAAAAGACTGAAAATTGATGAGCTTAGCATCCAGCTTAAATAGTCATAAAAGTACAACAGAATAAGCTAAAGGAACTAATTGAAATAATTAATAATAAATATATGTAAGAATAAAAATAAATGAGAAAAGAAACAACGATCCAAGAGAGAAACAGCCCAAAAGTTGGTTCTTTGAAAGGACTACTTACAATAGACAAACTACCTTCCCAATTAAGAAAAAAGAAAAAAAAAGTTAGGAATGATAATGGAGATAACTTTGTAGCTATAGCAGAGATTAAAAGGATAACTGGAATAGTATAATCAACTTAATGCCAATAAATTTTAAACCCTAGACAAAATGGACAAATTCCTAGAATACTAACTATAATATATCAAAGCTGATTAAAGAAGAAGTAGAAAACCTGAATAGTCTTACAACTATTACAGACATATTTCCACAAGGTCTAGACATTTTTATGAGAGAGTTCTATCAATCATTCATGAAATAGATAGTTCTGATCATCTGCAAACTCCTTCGGAAATTAGAAAAAGAGAGGACAACATTTTCTAACTCATTTTACAAGGCTAGTGTAACCTTGGTGTCAAAACCAGACAAGAACAGTATAAGAAAAGAATATTGAAACAGTCTAATTTATGAATAGATAGGCAGAAGTCCTTTAAAAGGTATTAACTTGAATCCAACAAGCTCTGTGTATTCCAAGAATACCGTTTGGTTTAATATTAGAAAAAATGATTTAATGCAAATTAATATCATTAGCAGATTAAAGAGGAATACATTATCTCAGTAGTTATAGGAAAAGAATTTTATAAAATTCAACATTCATTCATGATAAAAACTACCAGCAAACTAAGAATAGAGGGGAACTTCTTTAACCTGAGTAAAGGTATTGATCAAAAACCTGCATCAATTCATCATACTCAGTGATGTTGAAAGCATTCCCTTTAAAATCAGAAATGAGACACAAATGTGTCTGCTAATGCTACTTATATTTAACATTGTACTACAAGTCTTAGTATGGAAGATAAGAAAAAGAAATAAAGTATAAATATTGTAACAGAAGAAATAGAACTCATTTTTCAAGTGAGCCTTAATTATTTAACAAGGTTGTTAGATACAAAATCAATATACAAAAGTAAATACATACTTCTGCATCAACAGCAAACTGAGGAAGATTAATACCACTGGAGATAGCCACAA